CATAAAATTATGCCTTAGTGCTTTCCAGAAGAAGGAGCATTTAGCATATCTAATGCATTTTCTCCTTCTCCTGAGCGATTAGATTTGGCGACCCAGGTTGATTGCCAATCTAATGTAGGGTGGGCTATGCCTTGCATTCAATTCAATGTTTAGCATTTATTAAGGATATGTTGTGAAATAAATGAAGTTTAGGGGTAGTGGAGTATTTGGGATTAGAATTAGCCATATGTAGGAAGAGTGCCCTTTTTCAAGATGGCTGATACAGTAATTGTGGTCAGTCAGAAGAAACAATTTATTAGAAGCCAAACAGCTGAGGGTTGCCCTGGACACCCACTGTAATCTCCTGAGATACTCCCCATCTGCATTAATTTATCTATGCACTCGTCTAGATAGGAAGAAAGTATACAAACCAATTGGGCTATCTATTATGTCTGGGAAGTGAAAAAAATACAGATGATCACAAGGTGGCAGTGAAGAGCAAAGGATGCTGAATTTTCTACCTCTTGCTGCCATCTAGAGCTTGTTTGGATTTTCACAGTTTAGAAGAATAACACTAGTTCTGAATATTGCCATTCATACTTTTCTAAGAGTTCTCTATAAGACTTATGTGCAATCAAAGGTCATCTTTAGAAATAATTATGATTCTGGAAGCCTATCTCCTTTTATTTTCTTTTTAATGAAATATGTATAGAAAGGTACAAGTAGTGAGAAAAGGAGAAGCAGGACAGGGAGAAACAGAAAATGTGCAGGTACCACAAGACACATCTACACACACAACATTGAGTGCAATGTTGGGGATCTCAGATTCAGCAGTTTTTAAATCTTGTGTGTCTGTTTCTTCCCCAATTGGGATCATTCCATATAGACTACAATTCTGAGCTTTTCACACTGGCTATCCATAGTTATGGAAATCTAGTTTGTTAATCAAGCAAAAATGGCTATTTCATACATAAACCCAATCAATAAATTATGTTCAACAAATAATAATGGTTGGGTTCATGTAACACGGTAAGAGAAAGTCAAGCAAACTATAGGACACCTTACTGTAATATATGAAACCTGTCAATGTAACTTCATCATATTCCTTTAAGGATTGCTGAGAACAAAATACATCTGAACACTTTTTCACCAGAAAGAATATCAGGGTCCAAAATACTTACAGTTTTTATTTTTGTCCCCTGGAACATAACATATTGTCTCTATTTTATAGTTAAGGGATTTAGTGAAATATATATTCTTTGAATTAATAACTAGAGTAACATTTGAAATACCGTATTTTTCGGAGTATGACACACTGAAGTATAAGACGCACCAAGGTTTTGAAGAGGGAAATTTAAAAGGGGGGGGGTTGCACTCTGCAGACCTCCCAAAAATGGGGCGTTTTTGTGAATTTTTTTGTCAAAAAGGGGCATGCATAGCCTTTAGGAGGCGTATAGAGTGCTCCTGGGGGCTGGGGGGGGGAGGGCAAAATTGAGCAAAAAACGGCCCATTTTTCGCTCATTTCTGCCCTCCCCAGCCCCCAGGAGCACTCTGAAAGCCTCCTAAAAGCTATGCACGGCCATTTTGGTGATGGGGGCAGGGTTTTGGGAGGCAAAGAATGCTATATTCAGTGTATAAGATGCATCCAGATTTTCAGCCTTTTTTTTGAGGGAAAAAGGTGTGTCTTATACTCCGAAGAATACGATATGTCTCTCCAGTACAGGGGTGTCCAACTGGTGGCCCATAGGCCAGAAGTGTCAAGTCACACTCATCCCAGGCCATGGCCACCCCAGCTCCATGAATGGGGAAAAATCACGAAACATCACATGACGGCAATGTGATGTGGCACGTTTGGCACCCATGCTCTAGCAGGAATCCATTGGTTTTGATAGAGAAAAGACTTCAGTAGGGAATTGCTGAAGGATTTTTTTCTTCAGGCAATATTATCCAACAATTCAGGACAATGGTATTCCTTAAAGAGAGAACTAAACAACCTGTTGCACTTTGTAGGGCATTAAACATGTGTCAATCAATATAGTCAGTCATGTTCGGATTGCTAATTCAAAATTTGATTTGGTTAGAGATGGTGCCCATGGTTTCGTCACACAAGTTTTGTTTTGTTTTTTAATGTCACATAATGCTGCCTCTTTTATCAGTCCACTGCAGCTATTTTGGGTCACTAGCATGTCAGTGTCTGGAAAAATCACAGTACAGTGTAAGAACTTAAACTAGATTTCAAAAAGTTAGAGATTCAAACTACAACTTCTCCAGATCCCGATGATGATTTGTGGGAATCAGAAATATAACAACAAACCAGATGATTCCATTAACTGATTCAGAAAGAGGCTTCTGGGTCATGAAAATGTATAAGTAAGATCAAATAATACAAACACTGATGCACAAACATGTTATATACTGTAAAAACATTTATGCAAATTATGCATTTCTTTATTAATACCAAGTAAGGTCACAAGCCTTTAAGAGGAAGAAAAACCTTCTCAAACTCAATAGCAAGGAACAAAATATACTCAGAAATGTATATATGAAGCCGGGAGTTTAATAACTAAAGATAGTTTCCACATCAGCATTACTGCCTCTGAACTAAACATTACTTATTGTTCGGCAACTCCTTAAACGTATTTATTCACCCAAGAGTAATTAAAATAAATTATCTCTTTTAACACAGTGCAGCTTACTTCTGAGTGGAGGTCACAGGATTGCATTACCCCATCAGGACTGCTGGATTGCAGGGTTAACAGAAGTTGGAAGCTGAACAGAATAGTCATCCGATCTCCACCACAGAATTTCCTATATTTTGTTTTGGGAGGAAAATCTTTTTGGACTCGCAAGCTGGACAGGTTACAAGGGTGCTTCTAATCGCAGGACACTGTTTTTATACATACACTATTCAGATCTACAAGTGTGGTTTTGTGTGCACAATTCACTGCCTCTCCCTGCCAGCTTAGAAAAAGACCAAATCCACACCTGAATAAGTCAATATTGCTTTAACCCCTTAATACAGTTGCTGCAAATGCTTCTCCCCTTCTCTGCTCTTTACATGATAGAGGAATGCAAAAGGACTCCAGCAGTCCCAGTGGTTTGCCCTCCCCCACCAAGTGTTAAAAGGAAAAAAAATGCACCAGTTCTTCCCCACTAATGGAAATGGCATGAGTGCTTTTAACTTTCTGGCTACAGGCCCTTCTGAAACCGTTACACAAGGGGAGGGGGGGGGCGACCGTTGGAAAGAGAAAGGGAAGAAATGCAGCCTGTGTGTCAAACTATCCCATTCCTTATTTTGGAGAAGTCCAGGGTTAAGTCCGGCTCCCTTTGACTTTCAAAATGTGATGGGAACAAACCTTTTCCAAAAGGAAAAGGAAGGCTTTTTTCCAAAATCACAACCCCCCCCCTCCCTTCTCCCCAGCATTCTTTCCTTAAGTACTTGAAATATTGGCTAGAAGCGGAGATTTTGACTCAAGCCAGAGAAATACAGCTAGGAAAAGGAAATACGTCAAATCTGATCGAAAAATGTGTGAGCTTCGGAACATGTAGTGTTTGGACTGGCAACCAGGAAAAGGTTCTGTAATACACGTAGACACACACACACACTCACACACACACACTCTTTGCGTAAGACGTGCAACACACCATTCAACGGTTATTAGCCAAATGAGAAAAAGAATACAGTCTTAAAAAAATCTGCAAGGTTTTTTTTTAAATGCAGAAGGAACTTCCCAGGGTCCAATAAAGGACCCAAACCTTGAATAATTGCACCACTTTCAATCAAAGCGTGAAAATAAGTCACAACCCCCCCCCCCCCCCCCCACCAACAATCCCTTTTATTCTGTCTCTGGAATAGGTAAGAATAATCAGACAGAAAACCACTCAACGGACACTGATGGTGCCTATCCAAAACTTGATTAAATAGTGAACCACTAGATCCTTCTCTAGATAAAACCCCAAAGAGCAAAGGAATTAGGTAGGGGAAAACGCTTTTGGTGATGGTGTTGGTGGAGATTTCTTTAAACCAAAACTGAATTCCACCCACCCTCCTCTTGGCAGGATGAGATTCCTCCTAAGCCCAGCCCTAAAGATTTTCCATTCTCTGTAATAAAGCATACAATGCTGGAGCAGCATCTCTCCTGCCAACATCTCCTCCTCTTCCTTCTATCTTTCCTAGCACTGTGGCAGGAAGAATAGCCCCCCTCCAAGAAAAGGAAGGAAGGAAGGAAGGAAGGAAGGAAGGAAGGAAGGAAGGAAGGAAGGAAGGAAGGAAGGAAGGAAGGTGAAATGCAAAGGAAAAAAAGCACCCCCCTCCATATCTTGAATACACAGCCACCCCAAATGGTACTAGCAAAGACAACAGCCGCCATGGAGAATCACTTCCCCCACCCCCCTTCAACGCAATGACATTAATAACCAGTTTCTGAAGAAACTAGAAAGAAGGAGGAATAAATGCAGTCCTGCCTCCGCTCCCCTAGGACCCAGAGCTCCAAGTGAAAAGAGCGAGAGAGGAAAAGGGGGGAGGGAATCTCAGCAGGGATCTTTACACACATACACACACATACACACACACGCCACCACCACCACCACCACCACATACACACCCCATTTCTCTGGCGATGTCACCCACATACCAGGAGGAACTGACGCCCACAAGAATCAACTGACACATGCCAAATCTAAACACACCCACCCACAGGCGGGATGGCGAGATCCTTGCACACTGCAGAGGAGACAGATACACCTTCCAGGTAGCGCCCGCACACATTTACGCGCAACCCCAGCCTCGTGCCCTCCAGCCGCCCCGCCGATTCCCTTGCTCGGGGAGCACCCACAAATACCCCCCCCAGCGGAAGATGGGCGCTCCTCTCCCGCCGGACCTCCCCTAGAAAGTGGGGGGGATGGGGAGGGTGCCCGGTGCCGGCGCAGTGCCGTGCGCCCCGAGGAGGCACCACGGAACCATCTCGGGCTCCGGCCGCGGATGTCTCGCCCCGCCACTCCTGCGCCGGCTTCCCCCTTACCTTCCGACAATTCCAGCTCCAGCTCGGCCAGCCGCGCTCTCACCTCCAGCGGCAGAGAGAGGCTCTCCAGACTGCGATCCGCCATAGTCGATTCCCGGGAAGGCGATCTTCTCACTCGCCCCGCGCCCTTCTCTGCCGCGCCGGGTGCGCCCGGGGGTCTTTGTTCGCGACCCGTGCACACAAATACGCCGCCCCCGGAGGAAGGACGGGAAAGGGAGAGGCGGGCAGGCGGGCGGGCGGGCAAGCGAACGATCGAGGGGCGAAAGCACAAAAGCGCCCGGCCCTCCCTAACCCCGCGCGCCGGGCTCGGGTGCCCGATTGACCGCGCGGGCTCAGCTGGGAAGGAGCCCCGCGACGCGCAGCGCCAGCCCTGCCCAGCCCAGCTCCACCAGGGATGGGCTGGAGGAGGGTATGCAGAGCGCTCTCCCTCTTCCTCCTCCTCCTCCCTCGCCGCCGCTTCAGTTCAGCCCCGCCATGGTGGCGTGGCTGCTGTTGCGGCTGCTGCTTCTTCAACGCCGCCGCCGCCTCCCGATCCGGGCGAGCCTTCGGCGGGGTGGCACGGAGCCGAGCAGGCCCGCTGCAACCTCGCCGCTGCCTCCTTCCCGGCTTCGCGCACTGGGCGCAGCAGCGGCGGCAGCAGCAGAAGAAGAAACAGCAGCAGCAGCAGCAGCAAGCAGCGCGCTCTCCCTCGCTCCACCCCGGCCGCGCGGCGGCGAGGAACTGCGGTGCCGCGGCGGGGGCGGCTCGCTTCTGTCACTCGCGCACGTGACCCGGCTGGGCGCAACGGGGACCGCGGGGGGGCGCTGGAGCACGCGCGCCTCCGGGGAAGCCCCCCTCCTCTTTCCCCGGCCCCTTCGGCCGGCCGGCTAGCCAAGCTGCAAGCGTGCCTCCGCGCCCGTGGAAACGGGGAGGATCCCCCGAAAAAAAAAAAATGATAATAAAAGAGAGCGCGCGGGGAAGAGAGGGTCCCCGGCCTGGCGGAGAAGGTGGCCTGTGTGTGTACACGTGTAATGGGAAGCGGGGTGGGCGCATCCTCGGACCGCGCTGGTTTTACCCCGGCTTCGGTGGGATTCGGCATACGTTGCAAAAGGAGCGGTGAAGAAACGCTGCTCTCCATCTGGTGTTTCTTCCCCAGGATTATGCTGGTGGTAATTTCATCGACCATCTACCCAAACGGTCCCCAGATGGTTTTATAAATGTGAAGCACTAGGATTCATGCATCCTGAGATGACAGAACGCCTCTAAAGTAAACTTGGGTTATGAAAGAGCAGGATAAATTTAGGCAGGATAATCCTGCAGCCAGAGGATCTGAGTTGGTCAGTCTTCTCAACCTCATTTCTCCATGTAAGTTCTACCAACTTTGCAGGATGGAGTTAAAAGTGTCATCTCTGGTGAAGGAGGGCCATCTGCCTCCCATGGTGACCTCCTTCCCCACTACTGAATAACCATTTTGACATTTTTCCTAGAAGTTTAACCAAAATCTGTTTCTTTGCTGTTTTCCATCTACTCCATCTACTTACCTTCTGGAGCAACTGAGAAGATGTGCTTGCCTGCTTATTTATCCATCCATCCATGCCACCATTATCACTTTATAAGTAACTCAAGGTAGGGAGTTTCAATTTTCATTTTGTACCTAATACTTCTTCTTCCTCCTGTTTTCCCCACAGTAGCAACAACCCTTTGAGATAGGTAGGGTTGAGTTGAGAGAGAGAGACTTGGCCCAAGGTCACCAGCCAGTTTAGAAGATCTCTCCTAACCAAAGATTCTCAAAAAGTTTGGGGTCCACTCTCAGCCTATCACTTCCACATGTTCCCCGTGATCAGCTGACCATACCAGATCAACATCACTTTTGTTTCCATAGGTTTTTTACCAAAATTGACGAGAGCTGAAACTGACTTACTGAAGCATTCAAATAATGAATCTAGTAGTTGTGGGATTAATAAAATCCAGAAAATGAACACTACTGAACAGGCTTCAAATGCAATGACTGAGTGAAAATTCATATGTGAATCCATTGATCTGTGATCTTGCGCAAGCTACGAAGAAAAGTGTAAATAGGAAATGCAACAGAGGTGTGCATCATATACTGTAACAACTAGTTCGCCCAGCACCGGAAATGTGAGCGTGCACATCAAAAAACACAGCAATTTGCTTGTGTGCACCGTCCACACATAAATGCAGTATCAATAAACACTGCAATTTGCTCTCACTCACCATCCACACGCGTCAAATATACAGCGATATAGGATGGTATTACGCCCAGGCGGGTGGGCGGAGCCATCCGCAGGTCACAACTACTGGTTTGCTCAGACTGGTTCAAACTGGCAGCCCAACACTGAAATGCAATGATAAATATCAAAAACTGATATAATTAAGTTTGGGGGTCTAATTATTTCTAACCTATTATTAGTCCTATTTTTTTATTGAAGAGTATTGTTGAAAAATGTTGAAAAGCTTATGCTAAGCAAGTTAATACTAAGCTATTATTAAAACATCAGGCACACAAAACGAGATTGGTTAATTTTTAGATTTCAAATCCTCACACATATTTTGATAAACACGGTAAATCCTTCAAAAATCAAAGGTTTGTCCCATTACAATTATAACTTTACCCACTGAAAAACATAAATTCCTATGGTCTTAAAAATGCAAACTTGAATGTGTATTTGTTTTATTGGACACCACCCACATTTTCTAAACATTGAATTATAACAAGTTAGACTAGGAACATTATTCTAAACATCCCCACTCTTTCAACTGTTCTTCAGGAAACTTGGTTTTCAAAACCACTCACTGCTTGCTTCAGTATACACACTGATTTATCAAACATTGTTTTGATTACAACTATAAACTAAACTTAGAGAAAAAGGTTCGGGAAAAAGGAAAGAAAGGAAAGAGAAAAAGAAAAAGAAAGAAAGAAGAAAGAAAGAAAAAGAACTGTGATAAAAAATATCGTAAAGAAGTGTCTTTCAGTCTTCATCATAAGTATAAACAAATTTTAAAAATCTTTGCCCTCCTATAAGGTTACCAGCTGTATCTCTCAATCTCATATCCCATCCCTTATCTATGAGCAAATCTATAAAACATGGAGAAGAGAATTTATGTCTGTGGATGGCTGAGTGCTTTTCTCTGGTGAGCTTAGATTTAGTAGTTCAGTAAGAAATAGGTGCCAAATGCAGATCAGGTCACATAATTAAAATTTGGGAGCTTGGCCACAGGTAAGTCTATGTGAGAGATGCAGCATCCCAAGGTCAGTTTCTGACAGGCAAAGTCAATGGGGGAAGCCAAATTCACTTAATAACACATGATTCACGTAAACCACAGTGGTTTGCTTAACCAAAATGTCATAAAACGAGGCATAACTCACCAACTGCCTTGCTTAGCAATGGGAAATTTTGGGTTGCAAGTTAAGGACTACCTGAATGTGACTTTGAAGGAAAAGAAGGAGTATAATATAATATAATATCTAAATTACAGGAATCTATATGTTTGTGTGTGTGTGTGTGCAATTTCAACCAAACTTGGTACACAGATGACTTACTCTCTGAAAACAAATACTGTGGGGGTAAGACACCCCTAACACCCCTCGGGGTGTGTGTTCTGGTAAAATACATTCTGTTGTGTCTTAAAATGGCTTCTGCTGTACTGCCATAAAATGACTTCTACTGTACAGTGCAGTGGAGTTGCCATGGTAATGCCTTCACAGTACTCCACAAGGGGGGCTCCCTCTATTAAGGAGAGAAAATCCAACATTAGAAATTACGTTTGGTCTGGACATTTTCAACACCATCAGGGCTTTTCCTGTCTAATAGGAAAATAAGAATTAGGATAAATAAATGTCCAGGCAACGCTGGGTTATCAGCTAGTTGTCCATAATCTTTATCTTTTCTTACTGTTTCCACACCACTTCAAAGCTTTTATCCCTAATCATGGTGCAGTGGTTGGTTCCTACCGGTTTGGACTAGTTCACCCGAACCAGAAGTGGTTTGGCGGCCTGGGTCACTGGAACCGGAAGCAATTCAGGCCTGCCACAGCCCTGAACCAGTTCTCCGGTGGGGGCCATAGGCGCTGCCATCTTGTTTTTCAGTTCTGTGCATGCACAGAACAATTTTAATTGCACTGCGCATGCGAGCAGGCTGGCGGTAGTGCTTGCCAGAACCCACCTCTGTCATGGTGACTCTCCCTTAACCCTTGAATATCACTGTAATTTTTTCAGAACATTTAATAAAGACCATTGTATTCATTAGCTCACCACTGCACTCTGCAACAAAATAAAATTTGATTTTTCTGTGCAGCAAACATCCAGCAGTACTCCTGTTATTTCTATTTTTAAGCATATTTCAGGCCAAATTTAGGTTCCGTAAAGAGGTTGTGTCAGTTTTGGAGGCCATAGGCTTGCGTATACAACGTGGCATTGGAAACAAAAATTCTTAGAAATTGATTTTTAAGATTTTGTTATTTAAAAAAAAATCTGCCTCCACCCTAGATACAGTATAAATTCAGATATCAACCTGTAGAACCAGAAAAATATAAATGAATATGCTGCAAAACCTGTTATGCCAGAAGTGACAGCAGGACAGAATAAATCTGTATACAATCCCAGTGTTATTAGTTCTTTTTTAACTTTTATACCAATACAGCCCATTTCTGTCATAGGAAAGCATATTTCCAATAGCCATAATCACTTGGTGCAATATTTTAACTTGTTGATTTGAATGCCATGAATGGCAATTATTGATCCTTCTGAACATGGTCAATGCTGAGCAAATAAGACTTTATGAAGGGAGCATTTTTAATCAAACTATAATTTAATTTCTTTCTAGCTCCATTAGCTTTTATACTGTTTGCCTTCAGCTTCTCCCATCACCCTACCAGAGACTGACCTGGCTCCATGATGAGATCTAGGAGTTAAAAGTCTAAAGGTTTCTTTGGGGAAAAAAAATGGTGTTTTAAGACTGTCAGGTCTAAATTGGCAGCACTATAAAATTTTCATGTCTCTTTGCCACTATTTAATGATTATCTCCACCTTTGCAGTTCAGATCTGGTGACTCTAACTTTATTAATTCAGTCATGTTCTACTACACAATCAATTCCCGCTTCCGCCTTGAAACCAGAGGTGATATTCAGCTGATTCGGACCGGTTTGCCCGAACCAGTAGTGGAAATCGCGGGTGGGCCTGCCCACCCACCCCGGCCCTATGCTGTCCTATTTAGGCACATTTTCAAGCCATGCGCATGTGTGCAAGCTGTGCGCACGATCAAAGATCACATGTGTAGGCCGAGCACATGTGTGGATGGAGCATGTGTGAGCGAAGCAAGCGGGCGCATGTATGCACTCACATTTGTGAACCGATAGGGAAAGTAAGTGAATACCACCCCTGCTTCAACTCATTTCCAATGTTGCTTTAGCAC